TCTCACATACTTTGGGTATGTTGCCAGGAAGAGCCGTCCTTGTTGAAGGACATCATTCTCAGAAGGGTGAAGGGATGGTTCAGGAGAGGAAGACTCTGGATGAGATGTATTAATACAGTAACTGGATTAATAGGGGTAGGTGTGTCAGAGACCGTGAGATTGGCCCAGGATAGAGCAAGGTTCAGAGCTATTGTACGTAAGGTCACTATGAGTCGCAAGCGATCGACAGCACATAACAATACAACATCTCAGAAGAAGTGCAGCCAGAACACTCCTTAGAAGCTAATCTGCTAAGACTCTGGGTCACTTATTTGGGCCATGTTGTGAACGTGGGCCAGTCCCTGGACAATGGCATAAGGCTTGGTAAAGTACAGAGACAGGGAAAAAATGAGGAGCTGGGTTGACAGTGGCTACAACAAAAGTTAAGCACAGCACCAATGGTATGAATAGCACAGGAAAAGATAATGTTTCATTCTCTGTGCACAGAGTCAAGAACCAGACAGAAATTACTGCATCGATCTAACAATAAGAGCAAGGCAACAGTAGGAGGGTTAATTCGCTTTTTGAAAATAACATCTAAATGGTAAAGAAGTAGGAAAACAAACTAGAGATTTATGAAGAACAAAACTATTTTGGCAACTGCCTGTCAACGTTTTGGGAAAATATGGAGAATGATAAACGTCTGAATATTATTTTTTTTTAAGTCCCTACATTTAAATCCTGAAGGATCATTAACAGATAAAAGCAGTTACCTCCAGGGAAATCACTAGGGGATCTGCAGCTGGGAAAAACTTTTTCACTTTTTGCTTAAGTACTTACCATCTATCAAAATACCTAATTCCTTTTTTTTTTCCTTTTGAAGATACTAGCTTAAAAACAACTCTTCTAAGCATTGCTGTTTGAACAAAACTGAACATGAGGTCAGCATCTTTAAGCCCTTAACTGTCAGACCTTGCTACGCCCCCTGGCGCCTGGGCCGCTCATTGCTAGAGTTCTACCAGGTCACGGCCGAACATCCTGCTCAGTGTCAGTGCAGGACAAGATTCTAAATTGTTGTTGATAGTGCTGTCAACTTGTCTCCCATCGTGACTCTCTGTACCACACAACAAAACCCTGCTGGGTCCTACGCCATCCTCACAAGCTCTGCTGTACTACTACTGTCCATTGCTGTAGTCACTGTGTCAATCCTTGAGTCCAACATCCAAAAATTTTCCGAGCATGATGCCCTTTTCCAGCATTGGAGCTTCCCGAAAATATGTCCAAAGTATCTGAGATAAAGACTCGCCATGCTTGATTCTAAGGAGCATTTTAGCTGTACTTTCTATTGTGTTTGGCCCCCATCTAGACAACCCTGACCGCTTGATGACCCTTGCCTATCTCATGCCATCCATTCTCAATGCTGAATTGTAACCGATAATTCGTAAGAGGTAACTAAATTGTTACCTGCTAAGATAAAGTGTCCAGGTGGTGTTGGGTGGAATGTGAGATCAGAGGTTCAAATTTACCAACCTCTCCATGGGAGAAAGTTGAGCAGTGTATCTCAAAGATTTACAGCCTTTGGATACCCGTGGAAGGAACTGACTAGATAGCAGTGAGGTTGCTGTGGTTTTGTAAAATGCAGCAGTGGCTTGATGTGAAGCATGGCATTTCTTCATGCCTTTTGTTGAGATCAGATTAGGGGATGGGTGGTTAAATATTAGATTATTTGAACATTCTTCCATTCTCCTCACCCCCACCTCCATCCTTTTAACCATAACATAATTATGAAGTTTGAGGGTTAGAGTGAAGGTTGATGTTCTTCATAGAGAATTCCTTCATCTGCTTTCGTCTGAGTGAGAGGTTCTGAGGTGTCTCTGCTTCTTTTAGTTGTGCACCAGCCTATTTATTATCACATTTACATATTTAGGCATAATGTTTTTTTATCTTAAATTCTATTTGTTTTTATTTTTAATTTTTTAAATACGATTTAAAAATGTTATATGTCCTAACTCCACCACCAGTAGAGAACTACAATTAACATTGTGAGCTATTTCTGCCCAGTTCTTCTAATGCCTAATAATTTTTTTTTACATAATGTGATCTTGCTGAAATTCCAACCACGTCTACCAACTGCAACATTTTCCACATGTTGGAAGTCTGTCCTGTTTATCACAACATTAAAAAGTCAAGACTTAAAAAAAAAAAAAAAAAGAGTCAAGGCTTACTGGTCCTATGCTGACTGGTGGAACCCCTGAAACTATGCCCCTTGGTCAACCTTCAAACGCAGAGCAAAACTCACCTCCATGTCTCAACTCTCAGCAAAACAGCAGATAAGTCTGCAAAATGATCAACAATGCCAGGAAGGCGTGGCTTCTTAGGAGAGCCAACCATACAAGGTTGAAAGAGCAGCATTTGTCCGAGCATGAAGCACTGCATTCTAGACAGGGTGGGTCAGAAGGGTTACTGGAAATAAGAATCACAGAGAGGAAGTAGGAAAAGTGAGATTACATTGTGAGTGTCGCAATTAATATCATAAAACACGTACGAATGGTTGAATGAAGAAAAATTTTAAAAGTCTGTCTTTGTTAATTACTGCACTAATGCTCTAATTAGGAACCGTGGTATCATTAGAAATTGCAAGGCACGTTTGGTTGTAAGGATATAAAGTAATTTTTAAAACATCCACCTATTTCTGGGTTCGTAATTTTTAAACCTGAGCAAGTTGCAGCCGCGCGTAATATCCCCCACCCTCACCCTGCGCCTTTGCTTTTCTCCTCAGGGTTTCCACACATTTGGGGAAAGCATCTTGATCCTGCTTTGGCAGGTCAGTTTACTGAATGTCAGTCGCCTGAATAGAAGGTTGGTGGGCGTGTTCGGCCCGGGTTTGCTCTGGACCGCGCCTACCCCGGGAACACCCCCACGCTCCCAGCAGCGGGTATAAATGAACAACCAGGCAGGCTCAGGCTCCAGGCAGCGCCGGGCAGAGGGCGAAGGATTGCCACATCAGCCTGCAAGCGTGCCCAGTAACCAACCGCGGAGATGGCACCTGTTGGAGGTAAAAAGGCCAAGAAGGTAAGTGTCCAGAGGAGCCAGAGGGAGCTGTCTGTCCCGACGCCTAGGTCCAGAGCACTGATCTTGCACCCCAGATTTCACGAGTCCTGAGGGGCCCTGGGACCAGCGCTGTGGCCTCAGCTCTCCCCACTCCAACCGGGTCCTCAGAGTAGAAGGACCTCCCAGAGCTCCCCAAGGAGCCCCTGATCACGCCATCCCTGCCCGATTTCAATAGCGCATCCCCAGAGGTTCTTCTCCTTCATCTAGAGCTTTCTCTCCCAACCAGAGAGCGCCCCAGACCCCGGCCCTCCGACCCCAGGGCGCCCTCGGAGTCGCTCACAAGTAGAGGGCGCCCAGAACCCAGCTTCCTGAGCTTCTGACATTCCAGTCCTGCTCCTCAGACAGGAGAGCTCATCCCAAGAGGGGTAGCCGCAGCACCCAAAACCGCGATTCCGCTCTCGCAGTGCAGCTGGACCGGCTGACGCCGGGGGTGGGGGCGGGCCGGGCACCGCGCCTGGGTCCTCGGCGTCGGCGCGCCCGTGTGCCGCGCGCACCCTGCGGGCCGGGCGCGCAGCCTGGGAGTCATGCCCGCCCGCGTGGCGCCGCCACTGGCGGTTTCCCGCCCTCGCCCAGCCCGGCCCGGGAGTATCGCGGGGTTGTCTTCCCCGGTTCTCATACCAGGCCCCCTCGCCCCACCAATGACCCCGCCAGAGGCGTGAATTGGTTCTGGGATGGTAGGTTCTCACTCGCCCTTGGTTTCAGTGTTCCCAGGAAATGTACCACTTCCCTCACCACAAACCCACGCCCCGCACATGTCACTGGGAGGCAAAAACAGCCTAGCCTGGGAGGCTCAACTACAAACCAAAAGGCTTTTTAAATTCACCCATCTGTTAAGCGGGAGAAAGGCCTGGTGATCTTCTTCATAAACATTACAGCCTGTGGGAAACTCTGTGAGACAGCTCCAGTCTTCAACACATAGGGTTGCCATGAATTGGCATTGACTCCAACAGCGATAGGTTTCGTTATTTGATTTTTTTAGTCAAAATCAATGATTGTTGTTGCTGTTATGTGCCGTCAACTCATAACGACCCTATGTACAACAGCCCTAAATCCTGCTCTATCCTGTGCCAATCTCATTGTCTCTGACACACCTACCCTCGTTACTCCAGTCAGTAAATCAATCCATCTCATCGAGGGTCTTCCTCTCTTGCGATGTCCCTCCACCCTCCCAAGCATGATATCCCTCTCCAAGGACTGCTCCCTCCTTGCAACATGCCCAAAGTATGTAAGATAAAGCTTCAGAATCCTTGCCTCCAAGGAGCAGTGTGGTCTCACCCTCTCTAGGACAAACCTCTTTGTTGTCCTAGCAGCCCATGGTATATTCAATACTTTTCTCCAGCACCACAGCTCAAAGGCATCAATTCTCCTT